CACATTCTCAACAAAGTAATGATATGACTCCCAATATTAATTGAAATGCTTTTATGGATTTATAAAATTATTTTATTGATTTAAAAATAGTTGTATGTATTGATTTAAATTGACATGCATCCGCTAAGGAAAATAGTCCGTTGTTACCGTTTGAAAAAAAAACGTAGTAGCGGCAGGAAGGCGGAGCTTTTTGATTACTGATTTGAAAACATCGTTGCTTGCTTTAAAAGTAGCACAATTCATGATGTCAAACCTTGGAAAGTATCTAGATATCCCTGCCCTAATGCCAAAGGAACTGCACACTGAATATGTGTCGCCGTTTGATGTCTATGTCTGGACCGCTGCGTAAAAAGGAGGGTTTCTGCCCGTTACTTCTCCGCTGTTTTCTTGTCGCTCTTGTCTTGTCAGTTAGAAAAGCAAACTGCATGCAGTTTGCTTTTCAGCCAAACTGTATACAGTTCAATCGACCGGACTTGTTTGTGCAGATGTGAGCGTCCTTGACACCGGTCAATAAGTCCTTGACAGCGGTCTGTCTGTTCTGGATTAACAACGTGTCACGTGTTCTAAATTGACCAATCAGAATCGAGTATTCAACTAAACCATGTAATAAATACAAGTAATTGGAATATGATATATTAGATAAATAATGTGTTAGTTGCAAACAGATGAATGTTATTTCAAAGTTCAGGTGTTTAATAGTCGTATGGCCTGTGGGATAAAGCTGTCCCTGAGTCTGGTGGTTTGAGTCTGTCCCTGAGTCTGGTGGTTTGAGTCTGTCTCTGTCTCTGGTGGTTTTAGACCGGCAGCAGACAGAACCGCTTGTTTTGTGACTCCTTCCTGCCCCTCTCTAAATGCTCGTTGTGTTGCAGAGGGTTCACCTGGACATCCAGGTGGGAGAACACGCCAACAACTACGCTGAGATCGCTGCTAAAGACAAGCTGACGGAGCTGCAGCTGAGAGTCAGACAGCTGGTGGAGCAGGTGGACCAGATCCAGAAGGAGCAGAACTACCAGAGGGTCAGTACTAAAGCATGGTGGTGAGAGGGTTAATGCATCATGGGACAGAAGGAGTGAGTTGTTCACTAGGGGTGTAACGGTTCACAAACATTTCGGTTCGGTACGTACCTCGGTTTGTACGTCACGGTTCGGTACGTACCTCGGTTTGTACGTCACGGTTCGGTACGTACCTCAGTTTGTACGTCACGGTTCGGTACGTTTTCGGTACAGCAGAAAAAATTATCACGAAACATACAAATATTTTTTAGTTTTTTTTTTATTATTATTAAACTGTGAATAATGTATTCACTCAAATAAATACAAAATATAATAAAATAAACATTAAGGTGCAGCATTTCAATGAACTGAAATCATCTGTATTTGAACTGTACTGTACTAGTACCTAAGCAGCCATGACGTTAGGCTTGTCATTGTATTTTCATGTTTTTTTAAGAAAGATGAACTTGTCCACATTGCTTGCTGAAAGGGCAGATCTGCTGGCACTACCAATGTCTCCTGCTGTGGAGAACACCCTCTCTCTAGGGACAGAGGTAGCAGATACAGCCAGGTAGCGCTTTGCTAACATGGCAACATAAGGATATTTGGCGTTTGAAATAGCTTTGGCTCGGTCTGAACTTGTTGCGAGTGGTGGAGGCTTCAATGCTAGTGGGAGTTGGGTTTGCACTTCAGTCTTTTTTCTTTTGGTACCGGTGATATTCACCTTCAGGTGATGCCTTTTGAAATGAGAGTGCAAGTTTGATGTATTGCCAGCCGCGTAACCAATGTTAGTTGAACAACAATGTCGACAAACAGCTTTGGTTCGGTCCACCTGTCTTTGTCCGTCATCCTTGTACGTAACTGCAAAACCAAAATGTTCCCAAACCGGAGACTTCAATGATGCTGGAGGATCTTCCAGCTCAACTTTATCTGCGTTCGCCATTTCGACAGTTACGTGTACCGAACCGAAGGGCCCATACCGAATACGTATACGTTACACCCCTATTGTTAACACATGTTGACGTTTGTTTAAGCCAGGCTGCTACATGTGAACTAGCTCGTCTCCCTCCAGTAGACGGACGGAAAAACACGTCATCCTTAAACTTCAACTTTACAGATCAGATTAGGATTGTTTGTAGTTTTTTTACTTCGAAGTCTACTTGGTCCCTGCTGCTGTTATCCATCCTGATGTGTGTGTGTGTGTGTGTGTGTGTGTCCTCAGTACCGTGAGGAGCGTTTCCGGCAGACGAGTGAGAGCACGAACCAGCGCGTCCTCTGGTGGTCCATCGTCCAGACCCTCATCCTCGTGGCCATCGGCATCTGGCAGATGAGACACCTCAAGAGCTTCTTCGAGGCCAAGAAACTGGTGTAGACTTGTGACTGTGTGTGTGACTGTGTGTGTGTGTGTGTGTGTGTGTGTGACTGTGTGTGTGAGAGAGAGAGAGAGAGTGTGAGAGTGTGTGTTTGTTTGGTCTCTACTGATTGAAGAAGTGCTTAGAAGAAAAACTGCAAAGAAGATGGACGCAGATGGAAATCCAGCTGCACGAAAAAACATCCTTTAGATAATAATTATAATAATATTAATAATTATACAATGTATTTATGTAGACGCCTTTAAACGGAGTTGCTTTCACACAAAACATTTCATACCCAGAATAACCTTTCTCTAAAAAGGCAGAAACTTAACATCGAACATAAAACAAACATGAAAGCAATTCTGCAAAAGGTTTTTTAAAAAGTGATTTTATTTTAAATAATTGCAGCCCTGATTTTACGTAGGCAGACATTATTAATATTATTATCATCATTACTGGTTTCTGTTGTTCCCGTTGCTCTGCAGTAGACTATCAGGGGGAAATGTGACGACTGTATTTATTTAGTTCTGCTTCTCTTTCGTCAGAGTTAAACCCGTCAGTCGAGTTTTTAAAAGCTTCTTTCCGTCTCCTCTCTCTGTGAGGACGGCGTCACGTGTTACTGGCCAACGAGAGATTCCATTTTAAGCAAATTATAATCTGGATTCAAGTCATTTAATTTCTATTTCTGGGCAGGAATATAATGTGGATATGTTGCAACTGAAGTAATCAGTACTGTTGCTTCAGAGCGACTTCCCCCTCGTGATTGATCTTCTTGCTTGTCGTGTTTTTTCTGTGAGAACACAGGAAGTGGCAGACATCACATGTAGTGAAACGAGCTTTTTATCGTGCTGGATCGTAGTTTTTTTTTTATATCCGCCTCATTGCCATATATCAGGTTTGATCTCCGTCTGATTCAGATTAAAACCGACGGTGTTTCTCGACCAAAATCAAGCTTTTTGAGATGGTTGACGTGAACGCATCAGATGTTGCATCAAAAACGTACATTATTCGAAAAGAAAGATTTCTGAATGATCACGTGATCTTAACCCCGAGGTGTTTGAACTTCTTTTAACCCTATAATACAATCATTAACTCAGCTTCCGTTGTGTTCTGAATCTGAACCTGAGGAGTAAGAAACGTCCATCTTTCAGATTTAAAACACATTTTTGAGAAATACTAAAAGTGTTTCCCTCCTCAGCCTTCAAGAGTGACTTCATTGTTTTATTGTTTTCTTCCTCTCTGGTGGTTTGTGTGAGTTTTATGTTGCTGGTAGTTTTCAGAAATGTTTTCCGGGGTTAGAATAAAGATTTTGGAGGAGGGCTTTGGATTTATTTTATTTTTAGGGAGTTTTTTGTCCATGTGAAATCTGTCTGGAATTGCACTCAAAAATAAAGTTTGTCACATTTGTTCAAAGGCCTGATTGTTTCTTTCTTGTAATATTCCTCATTTAAACATTATTAATGTCACTCTAGGAGGTTTTCAAATGCTGTAACTATTTTCTTTATAGGGCGGATCATTCGACAGAGGCAAGGCAACGAAACTTAAAGGTGGGGTAGGTAAGTTTGAGAAACCGGCTCGAGATACACTTGTTATATTCCATGGAATGCTCTTAACATCCCGATAGCAATGAATATCTGAAGTGCTTTGACAAAAAATCCATAAAGAAATATCATCTGTGGAAGCTGTAGTACTGTGAAAAGCACGACCAATCATCTGAGCCGGCCCGGCTAAAATAACTGGATGGCCTACCTGCCTGTCAGCCTTCCATCGGGGCACAAACTTATATTTTCAAATTCTAGCGCACTCGAGCTGGTTTCTCCAAAATTACCTACCCCACCTTTAAGATAAGAAGCAGCATTTTACGGCGCGCCATGCATGGAGCCGCCTTGAGGGGGTTTCCCGACATGTTGTTGCAGTAAATTGAAGGGTGTTTCATGTTGTCGTTGCTGTGGACCTTTATCTACCTTCTTTGGGGGCCCCCTTCTGGTCCGGGGCCCCAAGCAGTTGCCTGCCTTGCCTGTTCGCAAGCGGCGCCCCTGACACAGACCCATCTTTAAGTAGCAATACTACACTGTACAAATACATCTAAAAATAAAGCAGTAAAATCTCTAAATTAAACGTGTAAGTCTGAAAAAAATATGTAATATGTGTTTTTAAAGTAAAAACTATTCATAACATTAATTTGAAAATTGTACGAAATGCACCAAAACAACATAACGTGACACGTCACAGAGTTTGTTTAGGCCAAATCTCTACATTATTACTAACACATTAATCCGTTAGCCACCGCAATATGTTTGCCTTTCACTTCCAGTGGTCTAATTATTATATTCTGGGATAAATATATATTTTTTAAAACACTAGATTTATGTATTCTTATATTTGTGGGTAGTAAGTCGGAGTAAACACTCCCTATTTACGGCCCGTCCACACGGCGGCGTGCGTTCCCATTCACTTTGAATGGGGTGACGTCACGCTTTGCCGAACTGCATTGTGCTTCCGTCGCTTCGCTTTGCTCTTGTTGCTCGCTTCAAAAGTTCAACTTTTGAAGGTTCGAAGGAAGCGCCAGCCAATCAAATCCCGTTTATGCAAATCTGCCAGTACTAGCGCTAGCCAATCAAACCGCGTGTATGCCAGGTCATTTCCTCATGTTCCAAAACATGGAGGAAAAAATAATTGTAGCGGTAGGGAATCACCCGGGTTTGTACGACCAGTCCCTGTTTACCTACCGGGATACACACCGGAGGAGCCAGGCATGGAGGGAGGTGGCAGAGACAGTGGGTCATACTGGTAGGTTTTCGCCTGTTTGGGGAGTTTATATCCAGTGTACTTCGTTTGAATGGACAGCTAGCAGGCATAGACAGTGTATTTAGCCACCATGCAATGTTGCATAAAATAGCACCATAGACATTAATGTCATAAATGTTCATCATATAAAGTGTGACATGTAAAACCTTTTATGCAAATGACAGTGATAAAGGGATTGAAATTATTCAAGTAATTCAAGAAATTAACTTTATTATTTCATTTCATTAGAGGAAGTGTGCAGGACAAGGTGGAAGTCACTGAGGGACAGGTTCAGGAGGGAGAACACTAGGGATAAAGAAGCCAAGAGAAGCGGGGCAGCGTCGTCAGGGGAATATAAGCCCTGGCGTTTCACGGCAGTGATGGGTTTTTTAACCCCATTTCTCACTGAACGTGAGACGTCCAGCAATGTCCCCCGGCAAACCCTGCCTCCATCCCCCTGTACTACTCCTGACCCTCAACTCCCCAGCCCGGTGCCAAAGGAAGAGAGCCAGCTAGGTGAAAGCCAGCTAGGTGAAAGTCAGCCAGCCAGCAAGCCGAGGCAGGGCAGACAGGACAGGAGGAGGAGAATGTTGAGGACCGGGGAAGAAGGAGAAGGGAGATGTCGTCCTTTGAGAACGGGTTGCTGTCAGCCATCGGTCCTCTGTGCATGCCACCACCTCAACTTCGATGAGGACGAGTTATTTTTCCGGAGCCTCTTGCCTTCAATGAGAAGGCTGTCAATAGCAAAGAGGGCAAGAGTGAGATTTGCTATTCACAAAGCTATTTTTGAGGCAGAGCTGGAGGAGGAAGAAAACTGATTTTTTGTTATTCACACACATACTGATCCACACTACATTTGTACACTCATCACTGCACACACTTCACTCACAACATTACATAAATAAAAGTTATTTAAAGTATGTTATGGCTATACTGTGTCTTCACTTGTTCATGTGGTTTGTCAGTTGCAACACCAGAAGCTTCATGTATGTCGATATATAATGTGCTGTCTTCTGTATAATTGTTCATGTGAAAACTATGAGTGGTTTATCAGTAAAAACAGGGCTGAAGGAAAAAGGTTGTTAGTCATATCATAATATCAATTCAAGAAACATGTTTATTAGGAATGTTTGATTTTTAAATGGCTCATTTGGAATATTTGCTTTTTAAAGAAAATATGGGTAGCTCTTAACCCAGATGCAGTGGGTCTTTTTTGACCCGGTGAGGTGGTTTTCTTGAAGTATCTTTGTAATTAAAAAATGTTATCATTACATATTCCAGCTATTCCTCAAAAAACATCTTTTGGATATCATGCCATTCAAATTTTTAATTTTTATTTTATACATTTTAAGAAATTGTAGTTTTTGTATTTCTACCCCAAGCTTCCATAAGTGGGTCAAAAATGACCCGCATGCATTTCTATGGGAACCTTTGATTCGTATCACCTGTTGCTGTCAGGAATACATTCACTGTAGACCACACAGACTACATCACAAGTGACACCTCTCAGGAAGATTATTTTACACAGCAAGATCTGATAACTGTCAGTATAATAATAATAATAATAATACATTATATTTTTATAGGGCTTTTCAAGGACTCAACAACTCTTTACAATATAAGGGAAGGTTTGGGTGGGGGGGGGTATAGGACTATCAAACTTGATCAACCGGCATGGATTGATGGGGGGCTATGAGTAGACAAGAGGAGAAGAGATGAGTTTTGAAAAGGGACTGGGATACTGTGAGGGTCTCAGAATAGCGGAGATCTTTGCATCGATATGTTCAAAACGTTTTTTTTCAAAATGTAATTTTTTTTCTAAAATTATAAATAGTGAAAAATGAAATATAAAATATTTCTAGTGTGAACCAAAATATAATACTAAATATTATACAAGTGATTTTTCTTAACCAAAATGACAAAAAAAGCATTAAAAACACATATTCTAATACGGGTCCTTTTTGACCCACTTATGGAAGGGTCCAGTCACTCGGGCATCTAAGGGTTAAAAGAGCTTTTGGCATGGAGGCTCTTAAAAGAGCCATGGTGACCCTACACCACATACTGCTGCCATGGCACTGCACCCTCCTCATTGAAATAGGAGCAGAAGTTCTCCCGCAGTTGGATGGATCTGCGTGTGGCATTGTTGGAGCCCATCCTCGGTGCATCACGCAGGGTTGGAGTAGCTGGAGCTTCATCCGTGGACTCCGCGATAGGTGTGCATAGTTGTGCAACACACAGGTGGCCTTCACACACTACTCTACTACCTCCGGGGTGGTGGTGATGACACGCCTCAACATTCTCCACTAAGATGAGAGGATGCCAAGAGCACATTCAACCACCAACCTGGCCCGGCTGAGGCGGTAGTTGAACATGAATTTGCCGGAGCCTGGATCACCACGTGCTTCCCAGCAATGGCACCAATAACATTTGGAAAGTTCCAGCGCTCCTGGAACTCAGCAGCGATGGCTCTCCAGTCCTCCGTCTGTGGTACCGGCATGGTCTCCTCAATCAGGGCGGTCCAGATGGCACCCGCAACCTCCCTGGCGATTACAGCCACCGTTGCATGCCCGACCCGATAGCTGAATGCTATATGAGTCACCGGTTGCCAGGTGCCTGAGAAAAAAGTAATAAACATGACATTTAAAAAACAAACAATTGCAGACCCCACACACACACACACACACACACACACACACACACACACACACACACACACACACACACACACACACACACACACACACAGACCCCCCCAACACACACACACACACACACACACACACACACACACACCACACACACACACACACACACACACACCACACACACAGACCCCCCCCCAACACACCACACACAGACCCCACACACACACACCTTTTTATTGTCTTTCCCACACATTTGCCATGTACACAGGGGAGCAAGACTGTGTTTACCTAGCTATCTAAATTAATGTTATCCATCTGAACTAAATCACAGACATCATTCATCCATGGCATGCATTCTCTCTCTTTCTATACAGAGTCAGATTAAAGAAGTAGAAATACACAAAACTTACCGTAGGCAGATGGCGAGTCGCTCGGCGGGTCCGATTGACAAACGCATACTGGTGTCCGCCTTTGTAATCAGTGGACCCACTTTGCCGAGCAACTCGTCGAAATTGTCTTTGCTCCTCCTAAAGTACTGCTGAAACAGTACGTCATCCAGACGGAGCTCTTGGACCAGAATGTGGTATTCCCCCCGTTGCTGACGTTTTTTAATTATCGAATGTACCCAACAGCGACGCACACCACGTCGCCTCCTGCGATACATTGCATACATTGCATAAACCAAAGCCACCCCAAACCGGCATCCATTGTGGCTATAGTGGAGAAGCGGGCTTTTTTGCTGTGTATGTCCGGGGCGGGAGATTCATGTGATTGGTTGTTGGTCGCATTAACCCCCAAGCTTTAGACACGCCCACCGGCAAGCTTCAACGCACCCCGCCGTGTGGACGCTGTGTTACGGTACGTCCACACGGCAGCGTCACGTTCAAGCTTGCCGGAGCGCGACCAACAACCAATCACATGAATCTCCCGCCCCGGACACACAAGCACGCGGTTTGATTGGCTAGAGCAGGGGTGCACACACTTTTTCAGCTTGGGAGCTACTTTTAAAATGACCAAGTCAAAGTGATCTACCTACAGGGCCGCCCCTGCCCAAAGTCATGTGGTGAGGCCCTCTGTGTCGCGAGCGGGGGGGGGGGGACTGCGAGCACCGGAACCTTGCAGCGGCGGGAAAATGTGGCGCGCTTACACTAATTGCGCCGCATTTGCACTTCAGATGAGGAGGTGAGGCCCCCTCCACGAGGTGAGGCCCCCTCCACGAGGTGAGGGCCCACGCAGTCTGCGTGATCTGCGTGTAGGAGGGTCTGTCTACCTACATTCTGAATGCTAAACATATATGTATTTATATACTGAGTATACCTTATGTTGCTGTACCTTGCATAACTGCATGAACCCGTATGGCACATTACAACTCAGTACATTTTTGGTCATTACGTCAATTTTATACCCTTTCTTTAGTAGAATTGTATAAATTGGAAGGCTAACTAGGTAATCAGCTCGCTGGTGATTTGCAGCTGGCGTGGTTGACCGTGCATGCGTGGTGAACTGCGTGTTAGAAAAGATGCGATCTCAGACTGGCTAACCTGTACGTCAATCAAGTGGCAAAGCCAAAGTAAGGATGGATTTGTTTTTTCAATGCCTTGCGTTCTACCCACACTACGGTCGATCACGATCGAAGTATTGGGATCGGGCTAGCGCTTGTACTGGCATATGATTTGATTGGCTAGCGCTTCCGTCGACGCTTGAAAAGTTGAACATTTCTCAACTTTCGAAGCGAGCAACGGAGGCAAAGCAACGGAGGCAAAGCAACGGAGGCAAAGCAACGCGACGGAACCACAATGCAGTTGGGCAAAGCGTGACGTCACCCCATTCAAAGTGAATGGGAAGCGTCTCCGTTGAAGCATGCGACGCTGCTGTGTGGACGTACCGTTACAGTTATTAGGAACAGTACTTGTGTAGACGTAGTTCTATGTTCAACATTCATTAATGTACCAAAAACAATCGTGTAATGTTCCTTCTATGTTATAAAAGTCACTTAAGAAGGAATGTGGAATATATTTTCAATTTTAATAAAGAAAGAAATAAGTGTCTGGTTCCTAAAGTTAAATAAAACTCCTGATCCAGTTTTACTCACTGGTTGTTTGATATCTGGTATTTTTCTTCTCAGACCCATTTTGTATTTATAATAAGAAAATAGAGTTATCAAAAGCCCTATATTAAACTCATGTAATTACAGGCACAATATGCAATAGGTTTATTTTTGATAGAATAAACAGTAAAACTATTCACATGACCTGGAAGTTATTGAAGAAATATGATAATTTTTCACATAAATAATACTAATACAAAATATTTAAAGTATTACAATGCAATAAAAAGAGGTGTGTCCTTTGCAGCCAGTGTAGTTATTTGATCCAGTACTGATATTGAATCATTAGGTCACATGACCTAGAAGCTATTGAATACATATTCTAATGTTTCCATAAATGATACAAATATAAAATATTATTATGAGAATCAAAATCTAATTAAAAGTGGTGTGTTCAACAAATGCAAGGCAAGGCAAGTTTATTTATATAGCACCTTTCAACACAAGGCAATTCAAAGTGCTTTACAAAAATGTAAGACATTAAGAAAATGGCATTTAAAAACAGTCATTAAAAAGCAAAGATAATAAAATCAACATTAAAAGACAAAATACATGATGTATGCTCTAGAGTGGATTTGTTTCACATTCACACGATCGGGAAGCTGTCGATTTATTAAAACGAACATTGTTCTTGTGTCATTGAAAAGTCATTAGTTGATGGTCCCTAAGTGAAAGCTTCAATTGTTTCGCGGAGAAGATTCAGCGAGAAAACTGACGCTCATCCAACCTGAAACTAACTTCACCACGGTCTAATATTAAAATAAAATAAGATGAAATGGACTTTAATTAATCCCCGTGGGGAAATTCAAGGGGATTCGGGTTTAATTGAAGATGTGCAAGAGGGAAATACATTCACACATAAAGCAAAGCTAGTATAATTAGCTTGCAGAACGTGTATTTATGAGATCTCGCTTTGCACAAATGGTTTAGTCCGCCTGCAGCACTGGGAGAAGAGGAGGAATAGGAGGAGGAATAGGAGGAGGAGGAGGGGTTCAGGGACCAGATGATGCTGTCAGAGAGGAGGATCAGAAACACCGAGCTCTCCATCCCATGTGCTTGGCAGAGAAATAAAGGATAATGGGCTCGGATCCTGTCATGTGCCGCGAGAAGAAACCTGAATAACGTCGCCTGGGTACAAAGAAGGACTATAATAATAATCAGTTTGATCTTTTCCTGAAAATGCTTCCCTGCTCTTCATCCGCGCAGATGGAGGGATGCGAGGAGCCGCACATACACACGGAGGTATACCGATACAAAACATTAAGAAAGAGCGAATTTGTCTCTCCATATGCGATGTATTCTGCATACTAAGCATTATGAATGTGTCCGAATATTAGTGCATGTGTTCTCGGCTAAAATTGGACATTTTTCACGGTGATATCAGCCGGTGTAATAATTCGCCGGCTTCTCCTGGAGGTTTTTTGTAGACATGAAAGAGCCGGACCCCTCCCTAAATCTGCTGCTCCTCTCGACATTCAAGCAGAGAGGAAGGATCACACTTTATATTCATTCCGGGGATCTTAAAGGCGGTTTCATGACAAACTTTCATGATTTCTAAATGTATTTGGTGGTTTTAGAGAGAAATGTGCCTGTCAGTCTTAATTCTGGGTTAAATGTCTGATTGTATTCCCCTAATAATCAGAAGTAGCCTCAGGTTTGAACATTAGAATAAAACAAAAAAAACATAATTATTCCATTCATTAGTTGCCTCTAATCTAGCATTTCATGTAGTATTTTACCCTAAAATCAGTAAGAATATAGTGGAAATTGACCCGCAACTCCCTCTGGGGATGATGCCTTGCTTAATTAATCACCAAAGGAATTGTGTTATAGTAGCTTAGCCATTAGCTCCACCCTTTGACTTACAAGGAAAACCATTCAGTAACAATGACTTGCTCAATTATTGGAGTTACATTGGGAGCTAAACCATTACAGTGTTTGATAATGCCTTGCTTTCCACTTTGACCTACATTCATTTTGCAACACACCTACCCTATAGAAGTGTCCAATTGTGTCCAAATAAAGGTACCTATTTACTGGAAATGGATCCCACAACCCTATAGGTGTGTTAATGCCTTGCTAATGTCGTTGACCTACATAAAGAGGAATGGATCACTTCTCTTCTTGCAGGAATGAGTCCTAAACCTGGAAATGAGTCAGCATTTTAGCACTTCCTGTTTCCTCTTCAGGGATTGTTTCTTGCAATTATCAGAAATCCAATGGAAAAATCCCATTGATTTTTTGTTGAGGGAGCCCTTGGGATGCTAACGTTCTTGAGAGCTTGTACCTAGACCTTTATGTTATACAAATTAAGCATCAAATATATACAAAAGTACTGACAAGATGGTCGATTAATTGCTTTAGATAGTTGAGTATCAAGTCAATTTACAGGCTAAAATGCGGAAATATGTGTCCAGTTTGAGGATTTTATAATGTTTGTCAGACAAAACAAGCAAGAAGTCACTAAAGAAACTGATATGTTATAGATTAGACGTGAACATAATCTTTAGTTTTGAGCTAATTGAAAGACAGATGATACCCTCTCTATATAAAACCTATTCTCTGTCCATCTGATTGAACAGAAGCTACATTAAAACGTTGGGTCCTGATGGAGGGCCGTCCCCCAGCTGGTGCATAAATCAAACAATGTGCCTCCTCCGACCTTTGTTAAAGCTCAGCTGGTGCCAACACCCCCGACAGAAAAGAAGAATTAGTGCTGCTTATAATGAAGCAATCATGAGCAGCGGAGCTAACCTAGCTTAACTAAACCAGGTTGTATTTGATCGTTTCTGTACATGCTGGTGTGTGTTGTTGGAAATAATATCAAACCACATGTTTAAATGTCATGAAATAAAAATGAAACATGAAATATCACAATATTTTTGATCAAACACGTCAACATATATATTGTAGTGTTGACAATTAATGTATTAAAAAAAAAGCTTATTTCATTTTCAGTATATATCAGTATGTAGTGTCTCTACTTTAAAGAGTCCTCTCCTGCTGATGTTCAGGTGTATATCAGTATGTAGTGTGTCTACTTTAAAGAGTCCTCTCCTGCTGATGTTCAGGTGTATATCAGTATGTAGTGTGTCTACTTTAAAGAGTCCTATCCTGCTGATGTTCAGGTGTATATCAGTATGTAGTGTCTCTACTTTAAAGAGTCCTCTCCTGCTGATGTTCAGGTGTATATCAGTATGTAGTGTCTCTACTTTAAAGAGTCCTCTCCTGCTGATGTTCAGGTGTATATCAGTATGTAGTGTCTCTACTTTAAAGAGTCCTCTCCTGCTGATGTTCAGGTGTATATCAGTATGTAGTGTCTCTACTTTAAAGAGTCCTCTCCTGCTGATGTTCAGGTGTATATCAGTATGTAGTGTCTCTACTTTAAAGAGTCCTCTCCTGCTGATGTTCAGGTGTATATCAGTATGTAGTGTCTCTACTTTAAAGAGTCCTCTCCTGCTGATGTTCAGGTGTATATCAGTATGTAGTGTCTCTACTTTAAAGAGTCCTCTCCTGCTGATGTACAGGTGTGTATCAGTGTGTAGTGTCTCTACTTTAAAGAGTCCTCTCCTGCTGATGTTCAGGTGTATATCAGTATGTAGTGTCTCTACTTTAAAGAGTCCTCTCCTGCTGATGTTCAGGTGTATATCAGTATGTAGTGTCTCTACTTTAAAGAGTCCTCTCCTGCTGATGTCCCGCCCCTTAGCCTATCACGTACAATGTGTTGGAGCGCTAGCCAGAAGCGCGAGTGTTACATAGTGATGTCACTGTATTCTAGAAGTAAACAAAGGAGTCCAATGGAGGCGTTTCAGGCAGAGGGGAACACAGGGATGTTAGCCTTTGGAGACCATTTACATGCACTCAAATCTATATAACACGCTACAGGAAAAGGGAACACCCCCTAAAAGCAGGGGCCTCTTTAAACATGTCTCCATTCAAATCCAGAGGAAAGAGACTGCTGACTTCACGTTGACCTTTCAGCGGGAACTGGGGATTTAAAATGTTCTTATTCAAAAGAAGGAAGTGAAGTCTCTCTGTCTCTCTGTCTCTCTGTCTGTCTGTCTCTCTGTCTCTCTGTCTGTCTGTCTCTCTGTCTCTCTGTCTCTCTGTCTGTCTGTCTGTCTGTCTGTCTGTCTGTCTGTCTGTCTGTCTGTCTCTCTGTCTGTCTGTCTGTCTGTCTGTCTGTCTGTCTGTCTGTCTGTCTGTCTGTCTGTCTGTCTCTCTGTCTCACTCTCAGCGTCTCCTGTCTGTCTGTCTGTCTCACCCTCAGTCTCCTCTCTGTCTCTCTTTCTGTCTCTCTCTCTGTCTGTCTGTATGTCACACCCTCAGCGTCTCCTCTCTCTCTGTCTGTCTATCTGTCTGTCTGTCTGTCTGTCTCTCTCTCTGTCTGTCTGTCTCACCCTCAGAGTCTCTTCTCTCTCCGTCTGTCTGTCTCACCCTCAGAGTCTCCTCTCTCTCTGTCTGCCTGTCTCACCCTCAGAGTCTCTTCTCTCTCCGTCTGTCTGTCTCACCCTCAGAGTCTCTTCTCTCTCCGTCTGTCTGTCTGTCTCACCCTCAGAGTCTCCTCTCTCTCTGTCTGCCTGTCTCACCCTCTGTCTGTCTGTCTCACCCTCTGAGTCTCTTCTCTCTCTGTCTGTCTGTCTGTCTGTCTGTCTGTCTGTCTCTCTCTCTGTCTGTCTGTCTCACCCTCAGAGTCTCTTCTCTCTCTGTCTGTCTATCTGTCTGTCTGTCTGTCTGTCTCTCTCTCTGTCTGTCTGTCTCACCCTCAGAGTCTCCTCTCTCTCTGTCTGCCTGTCTGCCTGTCTGTCTGTCTCTCTCTCTGTCTGTCTGTCTCACCCTCTGAGTCTCTTCTCTCTCTGTCTGCCTGTCTGCCTGTCTCACCCTCAGAGTCTCCTCTCTCTCTGTCTGCCTGTCTCACCCTCAGAGTCTCCTCTCTCTCTGTCTGTCTATCTGTCTGTCTGTCTGTCTGTCTGTCTGTCTGTCTGTCTCTCTCTCTGTCTGTCTGTCTCACCCTCAGCGTCTCCTCTCTCTCTGTCTGTCTATCTGTCTGTCTGTCTGTCTGTCTCTCTCTCTGTCTGTCTGTCTCACCCTCAGCGTCTCCTCTCTCTCTGTCTGTCTATCTGTCTGTCTGTCTGTCTGTCTCTCTCTCTGTCTGTCTGTCTCACCCTCAGAGTCTCCTCTCTCTCTGTCTGCCTGTCTCACCCTCAGAGTCTCCTCTCTCTCTGTCTGCCTGTCTCACCCTCTGTCTGTCTGTCTCACCCTCTGAGTCTCTTCTCTCTCTGTCTGTCTGTCTCACCCTCAGAGTCTCTTCTCTCTCCGTCTGTCTGTCTGTCTGTCTGTCTGTCTGTCTGTCTGTCTCTCTCTCTGTCTGTCTGTCTCACCCTCAGAGTCTCCTCTCTCTCTGTCTGCCTGTCTCACCCTCTGTCTGTCTGTCTCACCCTCTGAGTCTCTTCTCTCTCTGTCTGTCTGTCTCACCCTCTGAGTCTCTTCTCTCTCTGTCTGTCTGTCTCACCCTCAGAGTCTCCTCTCTCTCTGTCTGCCTGTCTCACCCTCAGAGTCTCCTCTCTCTCTGTCTGCCTGTCTCACCCTCTGTCTGTCTGTCTCACCCTCTGAGTCTCTTCTCTCTCTGTCTGTCTGTCTCACCCTCTGAGTCTCTTCTCTCTCTGTCTGTCTGTCTCACCCTCTGAGTCTCTTCTCTCTCTGTCTGTCTGTCTCACCCTCAGAGTCTCCTCTCTCTCTGTCTGCCTGTCTCACCCTCAGAGTCTCTTCTCTCTCTGTCTGTCTGTCTCACCCTCAGAGTCTCCTCTCTCTCTCTGTCTGCCTGTCTCACCCTCAGAGTCTCCTCTCTCTCTGTCTGTCTGTCTCACCCTCAGAGTCTCCTCTCTCTGTCTGTCTGTCTGTCTGTCTCACCCTCAGAGTCTCCTCTCTCTCTGTCCGTCTGTCTGTCTCACCCTCAGTCTCCTCTCTCTCTGTCTGCCTGTCTCACCCTCAGCGTCTCCTCTCTGTCTGCCTGTCTCACCCTCGCTGCTCCTCAGGGAGATGAGAGCTGACAGAGTGTGAGACTGCAGGTAGAGACGAGACAGAAAGTGGGACGCTTCCTGCTGGAGGAGAGAGAGTTCATCCTTGTGTCCTTTTATCTCTGAGTGCAGCGGTGACGCCCTGCAGAGACTCACATTCTCTCCGTTACTATCTGCATCAGGAGCAGGTCCAGCGCTATTTCTATTTAGAATACCTTGAAACCT